TATATTTTTAAACACATTTTTAAGAGATTTCTAAAACATTTATGATTTTTAATGACAGGTAGTCTAATAAATTTGTTAATTACTGGATCTGCAGCCTAAACCATACTCGAACATAACGTGAGCCTGGTTATAGGACATTAAGATATTTATAATTACAAGAAAGTCAGCATTACAAATGTACTGTTGTAATATAAAATCCATTTGAAATATTACAGCATTAGTTGAAAATGTTTAGCAGCCTCTGTGGTGATGGGTTAATAGTACTGAAGACAACTAACCAGTGTAACCGGTAGATTGCCAAAAATGATTAACCTGAAAATGTATTTTGCCTTTCAAAAAGATCATTACTGAGTAATAGTAATACTGCATTACAAATATCATCACTTTCCATTAATACGTATATGTTTGCATATATTGATCCTATGCATTATCAGTCCTGTGTATAGTGTCCAAGTCAACACAGATTACCATTTCACCATTTGTTTTACAGTTCTTTAAAAGGTGTGCATTTGTGCGTGTCTGTGTTTTATTTGAACAGTACACAAAAGTATTTAAGCACCAATAAATGAGTAAGTCTGAGGAAAATGTATTACAAAAACCACAACAAACTAGTTGAAGTCATCTGACTGCAAAGACTTTAGAACCACTGTGCTGAGATGTTGCTGAATGAAAAAGAAACTACCGCCAAAACAACTGCTGTGTGCATGTTTGATTAAAGGTTTCTTCTTTAGAGCGTTAGTCCTGCATTCCATGACTAATATTGATTCAAAGCTATCTAACAAACAACAAACATTTAAGTCAGCAGCAAGGACTTCTACTGTTGTCCAGGAAAGACTGGCAGCAGTAATTAAACATCTTTTCTTTTCTTTCTGTGACTAAACTATAACAATCAGTCAAAACGCATCAAGATTGGCAATCATTTGTCAAGCAACTGAAACACTGGTTTATCATGAATACTGTTAATGGTTCCTTCAAATCTGACCTTAAAGTTTCACTACCTAGTCATCTCACAATCATGGTAATGCACAGGAATGCAAAAATGAGACTGGCGATAGGTAAAAATATACCATAATAAAACAAAACGGCACAAGTCATCATAAACGTCAGCCGTAAAAAAGTGGACTAACATTTCTGAGTGGCTTGTTCATTTAAAAAATGCTTATTGTATGTAAAAATCGATGCACTTTGAGGTTTCAATGAGGGACCACAAGTCATACAAGCTGATAGCATGTTATACAAAACTGTTATGATCATGCATTAGTGAAAACTTACTTACTGACTTAAGATTAATTTAAGAGATCACCATAACATGTTCAAACTATCTGCACAGAAAATCCTTCCTTATGTGCCAGTGACATCATTGACTCTCAGAAAACCTCAAGCCTTTACAAAACATCAGAAGCAGGTTCATCTTTCCCTCTGAGGTGAATGTGGAAACGCAGTGTTTGCGTCCTCTTGGAGAGATTCCATGTCGGAGGATGTGAGAGTTCGGTTTGACACAGGGGCATTACATGGCCGGCTCTGCTGCAAAAAGCAAATCAGCCCCTTGTGATTTCTGCGTGTCTACGTGTCCTTACTCCATCTGGGCCCCACACCGTTTCAGGGCTGAGAGAGACGCTTGCGTTTGAGCTTCTGCCTTGCCATTTCCTCCTTTCAAAACAAAAACAGAGAGAGGACAAGAGAGTACTGACAACACACTCTTGCATCCGCCGCGAAACAACGTCCATCTCTCCAAGCATCCATCCATCCTGTGAGAATGGACGAGTGCGCACACGACAATCAGGCAACAAGGCAGGCTTTGTTAGTTAGGCACTCCTCTACTCCAACAATGGCATCTGGACTGTCCTCCAAACTAAGAGTCTCACGGCCACGTCACGTCAGTCTCTTCAAAAGCACGGCTGCTTTCACAACAACAACACCGGATCTCGAGTTTAAACTTTTTTTTTTTAATACTGTAGACCCAAATATGTCCTTGTTCTCAAAGTCTCAATATATTATATAATAGGATTTTATAAAAAAGGAAAAAAAGGGAGTGGGGTTGTTGGCATAGTATTCTGTTGCAATATATACCACATCAATATGTACAGATTCCATGCTGCTGGTTAGTAATCACTGCAAAAGAAGAAAAAATAGATTGATTAGTGCGGAAGAATTAAAATCTGCATTCAGATATTCATGCTCTGCAATTACAAAATCGCACACAGACTGTAATATACTTACAAAATGCTCCTGTGTCAAATAAGCCAACAAATATGAATTCAATTGAATAATACTACGCATGTGTTTTGACTTTGTTAGCCATTCCCCCAGAGCGCTCTCTGCTGTATCAAAATCATTTGGAAATGATTTCATTAATTAATAAAATGATTAAAAAAAAACATGTTTGAAATTTTAACACTCACTTTGTGCCAGCAGCCCGGTATGGGTAGCCCGTCACGTCCCTGCAAGGTGAAAACAGAAGTTAAAAAAAGCGTGAAAATGTCCAGCGATGCATGCTTCCCCGCATCTGAAGAATTTGCACGCTGCTGATTTTAATGTCGGTTGGTGTGCCTTCACAGTCAGCCGTGTTATATTAAAAATCTAATTTTACTTTTGTTTTGATTTTAAGTCATATGTTACTCTAATAAATCCAGATTTCTAAGTACCACATTACTTTTATTATCACCATCATCATCATCATCATCAACTTTATTTATAAAGCACTTTAAAACAACCACAGCTGACACAAAGTGCTGTACATTGGAACTGTAAAATAAAATTACATGAGATATAAGTAAAAACCAAATAAAAGAAGAGTGAAATCATTAATTAAATAACTACTTCAATTAAAAGAGAAACTAAGTCTCACTGAGGTTAAAAGCCAAGGAATAAAAGTGGGTTTTAAGACGTGATTTAAAAGTGGACAGTGAAGGGGCCTCTTTAATGTGCATGGGCAAATTATTCCATAATTTTGGAGCCACAATAGAGAAGGCCCTGTCCCCTCTGAGCTTCCTCCTGGATCTCGGTACCTCTAGGAGCAGCTGGTCAAGTTTAAAATGAACATTTAGATATTTGGAGAAATACTTGGATAACACGATGGTCGATCTGTTAAATAAGAGGTACAGTCAGCAGTCCAGTTAACTTAGCTTCGCTTTGGATAGGTGCACTATCTTGACAGAAGTACTGGGACACACCTCTTTATCTCTGAAAAGATGTGTGATAAAATGCACCTATCCGTGCAATCTGCTTTTAGAAATATTTGGTCATTGCAAAGAGCTTGCTGAGTAGGATGCCGCAGTCAGTTCATGCAATGTCTTCATCATCTATAAATGGTATTATTGTAAAGTGGAATTATTTAGGAACTATGACAACTTGACCAGAAAGTGTCAGGGCATATAAAGTTAGTTACTGAGTGCTGTGTTGCATAGCACATAAAAGTTTCCTCAGTAAGTGCAGAGCTTCAAATCTCTGGCATTAACATCAGCACAGAAACTGTGCACCAGGAACTTCCTGGCATGGGTTTCCATGGCCATATAGTGTATATGCTAGATGATGCCAACCAGCTACAGAACTGTACCATGTCTCATATGTAACTCGTTGTCAGCATTTACCAAATGTCTGTCTGTGGCTCTGATTTTGCACGATCCTTCATACTGATGAAACTATTAATTACTATTATTTTCTTGATTACACCTGCTTTTTCCTCTTCTGTTTTCTTCTTTGCAATCAAGTATAGTAAGTAGTTCTGCATTTCTGGAACTTGGCATTGTGTGTATATTTCATAAATTCATAGCAAGCTCTACGTTTTTTGGCTTGATCGGGCCTAGACAGTTTTGCTGTTTATTATCTGTGAACGCCTTTCTTTATTATTATTATTATTATTATTATTAAGCCAGACCCACATGAACAATGTGTTGATAAATGTCAGTGTATATGTTTCAGAGTTGGGACCAAATGGACCCCCCCCCCTCCAAAAGACCAAAATTTAAAGAAGCATTTAAACAGTCAATAACAGCATCAGTTACAGTGATCAGAGAGAAGTGGGGAAAAGAAGCAAAGATACTGTACCAGAGGACAGGGGCCCTCAGGGCCAGAAGGAGGAAGAGGAGGAGTTGCAGGAGAAGAAACCGCTGCCTTCACAGACTGCTCTTTAGACTCATCGCACCCCTGTTAGCAGGAGCCGATTAGACATTTAAAGCATAGAAGAACAAGTTCAGAAAAGCAGTTAAAGGGTGAAACAGAGATAAGATATATGCTAAGTGTTTTTAAACTAAAAAGCTAGAGGAAAGTGGGAGTAAGTAAATCAGCATTGCTGCAAAGCCTTTGTGTGTACATGTGTGGAAGAGACATACCACAGGACAAGGCTGGTCCAGACCCGGAGGACCTTGTTCACCCTTCTGGCCCTTTAGACCTCTCTTCCCTACTGTTCCTCTGTCACCCTGGGAGTGATGAGGACAACAGTTAAACAAATTCATACACTTATCACATGCAGCTAATGAAGACAGCCCATTCATACAGTGGAAATATTTTAAGCGGTTTAAGTCAGTCATTATTGTTGCTATGTTAAAAAACTGAAGGAGGAAGATGCGAGAAGCTGGAGGAGAACTGAGGATCTGTTTGGACTTACCTTGTCTCCTTTTTCGCCTCGATCACCTTTTTCTCCCCTCAGGCCTGGGAAACCCTGGATACAAAACCAAAATCCATAAGGGAACTTATTACCCAATATATGTTAGACTTTATTTAAACTGAAGATACTATGATAAAAAAATGTCAACATGTATCGTTCTTCTTAGTAAGAAACTCACATCAAGTCCAGGCTCTCCTAGTCTTCCCTGCAAATACACATTGAGAAAGATTTAAAAAAAAATAAAAAATAACGAATAAACCAGCAACGAACAACAGATCTATTAAACACTTTTATGGAGGTTGTCGTGTCCTTACTTTCTCTCCCTTGGCACCAGGAAGGCCCACTAAGCCCGGAGACCCAGGTGGACCTTGGAGGCCATCTGATCCCTGCAGTAAAAGCACACATTCATCACTGCATCATGTCCAGTTCTTGAGCCATGACCAACACGTTAGAATAATAATAAAGCCCATTATCACTTACTCTGGATCCAGGAGGACCACTGTCTCCCTTCTCTCCCTTTATCCCCACTCCTGGTTCACCCTGCATTACAGCAAAGCCACACTGAGTACAAGACAATGCATCATACAGCTGCCATCAGCCTCCATCACATACAGATAAACCAGCTTACCTTAGGACCAGGCATTCCATGCAGCCCCTGTAGGACATTGTGTGATGTGAGTCTTTGCAAACTACAGACCTGACTGGACTTGTTTTTATCTGAAATGATATAAAGTTATGCTGCAGGTACTCACCATGGATCCAGGGTGCCCAGGTACTCCCGGTGGGCCTGGTGGGCCAGGTGGGCCTGGCTGGGAAATCATCTGAACCTTTAGCACCAATGAAAAAGTGGAAACAAGACGAGAAGCATATAAATTAAGTGAAATAATCAGCTAAATTCAAATAACAAATTGTATAGTCGTTCCTCAAAGTAACCAGAGAATTTCAGACTGTTTCATGTGTTTACTTCTTTAGATTATTATTCTCACTCATTTCCAAAATGAAAATCAATTGGGAAGAACTTAAAACTAGAGTAAAATCTACATCAATGAGTGTGAACATTATTCAGTTCTTTAAAGCAACGAAGCAGATGGTTCAAAACATGCAAATAACAAATAAATAACAATATATTTCCCTTTAAATTGTCTGTTTGGAGGTGCAGCAATCTGTAATGAACGTCAGAGGATTCATGTATTTCATACTCATACTGACCAAGTTGTCATCTAGTCTGCAGTCGCCTTTTTCTCCTTTCTGTCCATCCATACCCTGAGCCACAAAGAGCAGGATTAACTTTCAGCTGTTTTTAAAGTTGTCACCATTGTGTTATTAGCGAAATAGAGTCACTGTCGCTACTTACAGTAGGCCCAGAGAGACCCATCTCGCCTTTCTCTCCTCTCATGCCGGGAGGTCCTGTCTCACCCATGTCACCTTCGGGTCCCTGGAGATGAAGAAGAGATTAATAAGGCAGATGATGCTAAACGTCCCACTGACTACTATATGAAGTAGTGAAAAAAATAAGGAGCATGCGTCTGGGTGTAATATACTCTCTTTGTCGCTTTACCTTCTCCCCGTCAACTCCTGCTGGTCCAGGTAACCCGAGCTCACCCTGATGCAGAACAAAAAGAGGGAAGATGCACTCGGTGGACTAATATATCTGACTTTGTCTACAAAATCAGGCTTAGCATGTTTTGGGTATTTATCAAACAATAAATATCAGCCAATCGCAGCTGTATGGCTTACCTTTTCCCCTGGAGGTCCTGGTGGTCCTGGTGGTCCAGGTGGCCCCTGGAGAAAAACAGGCAGAATAAAAGAAATGAGCACAAAGCTTTGTTGCGTGACCTGTGTTAGACTAAATTAACCTAGCAGCAACTGATTTTCTGGTTTAGCTGATTACAGCTAGTCACCGACTTTGTGTATCACTTGCTGCCGGGCTGGCGTGCTAACAACAGCTGCCTCTCTTGGTGGATAAAATTGCTCGTGCAAGCTGTGAGACCAAACTCAAACAGATCAAACCAAGACCTGAAAGCAGCTATAAAGCTGTGGGGAGCTAAGGAGGTCTTTCTCTTACAAATAGTCACATGCATCATATAAAAAGATGACACTATAACGGCTTTAATCAGAGCTGCAATTTTCAGAGAGTCCCTTAGACATCTTCTGCATTTTTTTATCCGCTTACTCTCACACTGTTTATCACAGTGAGGCTGGTAACTCATTATAAAAGGCCCGAATCGTGAACACAAAACGCTATAATTCACAATGTGGGCCTGACAGTAAACAAGTCCAAAACCTTCCTTCATTCCTTTTTGCTGATCACAACCAACTTGAAGCAATTTTTATCTTACAGAGATTGTTAAAGAGCTCTGAATGTGGTCTGTGCTACACAATAGCCTGGCACGGCTCTCTGTGATTGTCTTAATGATGGGACTGCTGGAGAAAACATTGATGTGACTTTATGTAACCCTAATGATGAATGAAGAATGGTGTGCATATATGTAATAGGCCATATTCTTCCCACGCAGCTCCGCCGTTATGCTATGAGTGATAGCTCTTGTAAATCACTCCACTTAATCTTTATATTCACAATGCTACACTTGTTATTCCTCCTTGTAAAGGCTCCGGTCATCTTGAAGCAATAAAAAGGAAAAAAGCCAAGTTGCCTCCCAGAGGTGTACGATTCATTTTCCAGTTCCTAACTTGTTGTTCGTTCTCAGCTTTTAAAGCCATGGAAACTGATGTTTACAAGCAACTATTTGATCCCAGACACTCCATCACTGGAAAGTGAATGCTATTCATCTGCAAAATGACTGACGGTGACAAACAACCCATCTTAGCATTGTTTTAAACCAAATTCATCATCACCTAACATTTCACAACAAGCACATGAAACGCTGCTTTTCACACAAACAAGGGATCAACTCACAAGGTGGGTGGCCAGTGAGCGCTACCTGCTCCGTGGAGCCCTGTGTGTGAATTTGTGCCAACTAATCCGCAATGGCAAAGAGCTTCCGATAAGATCTCGGGTCCATGCTTTTGCCAATCCCTTTGCAACATTCTTATATTGCTTGTATTGATTGTTGCATGCAGGAGCTCAGCTCCAGGGGGACCTGGTTCATAATTGTTTTAAATCAAATGCATGCTCCGCTTCTCAGAGAGCCATCTGCCAGTAGCATGTACTGCGGTGTACAGCCTGATCGAAGAAGCTTGTGTCTGAAGAGAGTGATGTGAGACTGTGTTGACAGTGAGGCGCTCCCTTCTCTATGTGCTAGCACAAAGTAAAACACACCATGCTGCCCTGTAGCAGGTTTCAAACACATACTTTTCACATACATGCCATAAAAACACAGAAGGCTTTTGATTTTTTCTGCATAATTAATCAAAGCTCTTTAGGCTGCATGTCATCTGATAGCACAGCTGTGCTTTATTTGTAAGGGCTGTGCTTTTTTTTATGCCCCAAACAAATACACAAGAGACTCTGGAAAACTGGGACACTCAGTAATGCTCTTTAGATGTGGCCCCTAGAGTGACATCCAATACATATGAAGACCAACGCTCTTTGTTGAGGGCATCTACAAACACAAACAAAACCCACTAGCAAGAGAAAGCGGGCAATGCAGTAAATACACAAGAGATGCTTAGATGCAAATCTGTGCATTGGTGTTAGTTACTGGTCACACCGCCAAAAACATGCAGCAACAACAGCAGCAGATTACCGAAACACTGATGGTGTTGATGGCCTGTCGAGGAGAAATGGCGACATGTTCAGTTTTTGGTTTCTTTTTAACCACACTGCCAGCTCTGGTGTTATTTACTTGTATTGAAAAGCTCTGCCTCGATCCTTATGTGGAATTCAGTCATAAGCGGCTGAATGAATCGGGTGTCGCTGACACCGACACTTGAATATGACTCACCTGCAAAGCATCTAGAAGCTTCCCATTGAAGTCGATGATGTCTGAAGCACCCGGGGTGCCCTTCTCACCAGGAAAACCCTGAGACAGAAAAAATAATAATGTAGGAATATTTTATATAAATGTATATAAATGTAGAGATGCATAGATGGCTCAGCATAATAGCAGAAGGACAGAGTTGCCCCTTAAGCATAACAAATAACATACCATGGCTCCCTGTAGTCCTTGCTCTCCTCTTTCTCCTTTGTCACCCTGTTTGCACCATGAACACCATATTATGGTAAAACTCTTTCATAGCATAATTGTTAGAATTATTATAGATCATTATTATTTCAAAAACAATTTCAGAAATGTTTCTTACCTTTAATCCTGGAAGTCCATCCATGCCTCGCTCTCCTTTTTCTGCACTCCCAGGCTCGCCCTGTTTAAATGCACATTAAAGGTTAGAAACATACTTAAAATCATCCATGTCAGAGACATGAGAGCGGTAGAGCAAAGCTCGGCTTTACCTTTTCCCCCGGGTGACCCTGTTGTCCTGGATAACCAGGTTGCCCATCTTCTCCCTAGCAATTCAAACCAGCCATTAAATGAAGAGAGAGCTACATATCTGGCTATATTAAAACAGCTTTTGAGCCCTTTAATGGCAACACTTCAGTTAAGATCAATAGTTTGTTAGCAGTCTTACCGGCTTCCCAGGCAGTCCCTGTGGCCCCTGAGGTGGAAATATATTAAAAAAATAAATTATGAATTTTTCAGACAGTCAAATTATTCCGACTAAAAAAACTCCAACAGCAAAAGCCAAATTGCTTCAGCTGTAAACCAAACAAAATGTGAAACAAACTCTTAAAGCTTAGTGTGAACTCTGCTCACCTCAGCTCCATCGCGACCAGGAAAACCCTGAAACGACAGAGGGGACATTTAATGAGGTGAATCTACTTCAGGAACATGAACCTTTTTGGCCACTAGATGTCACTTTTCAATAAGGCATACAAGGCAGTCCGTAGACTTCAGCTCCTTCAGCACGAGCTGGACTGTTTAGAGAATAATTACAGGAAATGGATGAATGATGAGCAGAGAAAAATAACAAAGACAGATGCTTCAATACAGGCCATAACTGGTTACCTAATGCATGGATAAGCAGGAAAACTCAGCCAGATGTAAACCCAACTTCGGTCTAACTTGTTGGACAGCGGTGTTCCCGTGTCAGCAGTGAAGATCAATCTTATGGTGTGTCGACCTCCCCAAAAAGGGTTCAAGAGACTTGCAAAATGCCCCTTAAGAATGCATTAAGAGAGTTTTCTTTCTTTGCTTTGACACCCATTCATACAAAAGAAGACTAAACAAGTTTTGTTCTGTTTGCAGTTGGATTTGAATTTGAAGCCTTCAAACTGAAGCCTGTGTTTGATGAGCGTTAATCCAGTGAGCACAAACTTCTATCCATCAATGAGCTAACATATTTTTTATTTAGCTAAAAAGATCTTTTTTAGCGACTGTCTGCGAGAGCCAGGTGGAAGCAGCTAAACATCTGCTATGAAGTCATTCATGGCGGAGACAGTTTAGAGGGCTCTTGTGCAAGAGCCTCTCTCCATTGCTTCCTCACACACAGATACACACACTACTATCAAGTAGTTGTGTTTACTTGATCGGCCAGTGGACCCTAATAAATGCACGATATAAATTGAAGGTTGTTAGCCTTCCATTCAGTAATATGCAGAAGCTGATTAGATATTCTTCAGCTGGCCAGCGTGCAAAAAGTGTCATCGCGATCCTTCCTACTACTTTCTTTACCTGTTTTACTTTCATCTTTTTGGCACTGCTCTTTCTTTCTCATCATATTTCCTTACCAACATCTATCCATCCATACATTCATCAATCCACCCGAACTGACCAATTGCCAATTAACTTGACAATTATCCTGTGGGAAGCCATGCAGGCAGAACATGTAGACCCTGCTGATTGGAAGGTTAAAACCCAGTACCTTCTTACTTTAAGGTGACAGAGCTACCCGACAGCATGAGACATTTCATTCTATATAACAGATAAAAAACGATGGAGGTTTGAGTACACCAGGGCTGGCAGTCTCGCTCACTTTCTCCCGCTTGGCCCTCTTAGACATCTGCCCACAACATGGAGTGGCTCTCTGCAGGCCTCTGTGCTTTGTTTTGCTGTTTTGGGGTTTTGCAACTCCTTTAATCAACTTGAAGAGCACATTTGCAATCGACTAGGTTACAGGATGGGCCCCCTTTTCTCTTCGACCCGTCTGTTTTTTGTTATTTTCTGAGCTGCGCTGGCTTTCCCTGCTGTTGGTTCAGCAGTTCTCAAGTGACCCACACCGAAACCAACATTTTTCACTTGAATCCCTTGCTGTCCTCTTGTGCCAGTTGAGGGTAACAGCACATTCATTCCTACACTTGAATAAACAAAAATTACCTTCATAGTCTCCTTCTCTTCAATTCAATAACCACAGCTGCAAGTTTTGCTGCATCTGAACTAGACCCTGGGAAGCAAAAAGTTAATTTTAAGAAACGAAAACGGCCACAGGCGAGGAGTGTACTATTGTTTGGTGAGACCGGCAAACTGCCCATGAACTCACCACAGTGCCATATCAGTTTCAGCGTGCACAGCAACACAGTTGTGGTAGGAGGGTGGGAGAATGTGGATTTGGAAAGGGGGGGTGTTGGAGAACTTTGTGGCCGCTAACTTACACAAAACAGATGAGGCCAGGAGTAGACTTGCTATTCTGGGACTTCTTTAGGTGAGCCACAGCATGCTGGCAAATCCCAGAAAAATGAGAATAGGGGTTCATTGCCATTTGCTGTGTACACCCTTACCCCTTATGGAGCTACGCAGTTTGCAATCTGTCACAGTGTTGTGGTTAAAGAGTATGATGGGAGTAACAAAGCCACTGATGACTGAGGTGTTCTAAGTGGCTGCAATGCTTGTGGTGTAACCTTAGTTTGACAGCCAGAAGGGATGGAGTAAGAGGAGATCTACAGTGGGGGTGGGAGGGCATTGTTTTTGTTGAGGCAGTGTGGATTTGGCTCTTGTACAATACTGTGCAAAAGTCTTGAGTCATCCATCATTTCTTCATATTTTACAAGGAAAATGGGAAATACGTGCAGTGATTTATTGAAACTTCAGCAAACACATGGAAATACTGACTTAAATACAAGCCTGAAAGTCAATATTTGGTATCGCCACCTTTATTCTTCACACAGCCTGAACTCTCTTAGGCGGATTTCTTGTCATTTCTTTAAGCAGTCTTCAGGAATAGTTCTTCAGGCTTCTTGGAGAACTTTTGTTCTGTTTTCTGTCAAGATGAGCCTACACTGCTTCGATACTGCTGAGGTCTGGGCTCTGAAGAGGCCAATCCATGACTGATAGTGTTTGTTTTTCTATCCAGGTATGCTTTTACTGGGCGATCGTGGCTCAAGAGTTGGGAGTTCGCCTTGTAATCGGAAGGTTGCCGGTTCGAGCTCCTGCTTGGACAGTATCGGTCATTGTGTCCTTGGGCAAGACACTTCACCCGTTGCCTACTGGTGGTGGTCAGAGGGCCCGGTGGCGCCAGTGTTCGGCAGCCTCGCCTCTGTCAATGCGCCCCAGGGTGGCTGTGGCTACAATGTAGCTTACTATCACCAGTGTGTGAATGTGTGTGTGAATGGGTGGATGACTGAATGTGTAAAGCACTTTGGGGTCCTTAGAGACTAAGTGAAGCACTATACAAATACAGGCCATTTACTGCATTTGCAGTGTGTTTGGAAATGAAGCCATTGCCAGTCAGAAGCTTTTCAGGTTTTTTATTGCATGGAGGATCAAAATCTGACTGTACTTTGCATTGTTCATAATGCCGTCTGTTTTGATGAAATCCTCAACACCGCTGGCTTAATTGCAGCTCCGCTGTGTTTTACAGATGGCTGTAGACACTCACTGTTGTTCCTCTCTGCTGACCTCCTCCATACATACTGACGATGATATGAACCAAAAATGTCAAACTTGGACTCATCACTCTATACGACATGTTGCCATTTATTTTCAATTAAGTTCTTGTATAATTTACCTCAGCCTTTTTAACTGTTTTTCTTTCTTAAGAATGGCTTACTGACAGCCACCATTCGACTGAGACCATTTCTGATGAGTCTTCAGTGAATGGCTAGATGCGTCTCTCAGGTCCTGTGCCAGGTTTGCTGGATTTTTTCCATTTCTTTTAGATCCGTTTTTTAGGCCTGTCACTTCTTCTTTTGCCTCAAATTTTTTAAGAACACACCGCACACCATGCTGGGATATGCCAAGTTTTTAGCTAAGAGCTCTTTAGAAATCACCTTGTTAGTGCAATTTTAGAAATTTGAACAAATGGTGTTTTTTTTTTTATCGGTCAGGTAAAAGGCCTGCTCTGAAAATAACTGAAAAAGCAGTCAATGTCCACAGAAGAACTTTGAAAGACCTACAGACAGCCTGGAGAACTGTTGCTCGAGACCACTTTGAAAAATAACAAGAAAGTCTGGCTCCTTAGAAGCCAAATGTAAAGAAACGATGGCTAGCTCAAGAAGAGGGGTAGAGATAAGAAGATGCTCTTACTGGCTCTCCGGGAAGACCACGAGGTCCATCTTTTCCAGTGTTCCCAGGGGGGCCACGGGGACCTGGAGGACCTGGGGGACCGGGAGGACCAGCAGGTCCAGCCTGACCCTGATCACCCTGATAAAAAACAAGAAGAGGATAAAATGCAAAAATAAACGACCAACTACAAACTTGTAATAAATACATTATTAAGTACACAAGATAACGTAATATATTAAAATAAATCTCCTTAAATGCTCCCATTAACTGATTTGTTTTTGGCAACAGAAGCAAACACTGACATGCCAGCGACCTGTTAAGGTTATACGGCAAACGTCAAAGAACTACCCCTCAGCTTCTGCAGCTGTCTGTGTGGGCAGTCAAGGTGTATAATCCTTAATCTGTTTATTTATTTACAGTTGCCTTTTTCTCCACCTGATAAACATGACTGCAAAATTCCCTCGTATTTTAGACCCCGTCGAGTTTCCTGAGAAAAATATTTGGATCTTTATCTGCTAAATGCTCCACATATGTTTAACAGCTAGTTGAGAACACTGTTTGCTGTTTGGTGCTTGAGAGGAAACACGGGGGCCTACATTTTCTTTCTCTTTTTGACACAACGACTGCCAGGAAAGAGCAGTGAGAGAACAGAGAGTGAAAGTAAGAAAACAGGGAGATAAAAGACTCTCCCAAGTTCTGTAGAGCTGAGGGAAACTGCAGAGTTTGGTGATAATTATCTGTGTCACTGTAAGCCACGGATCTCACAAACACATTTATTAAGAAAAGCTTTAAATATGCTTTGTGCTATGAGCAGAAATCCCTCAAACTTAACTTGCAATTACTGGCATGCAGCTTGTTAGTTAGTGTGGTTTTGTGGGCACTGGTAATAAAGGACAACAGCTGGAGGAACTGGCCAATAAGAACAGTTTATCTGGTGAGTTAGACTGACATTTCAAACAAATCCATGCTGGCAAAACAAATTCATTTGTAAGTGAAAAATACATCTGATCACTGGATTTAAACCACCATCCCACTGCCTATTTAGGCTAAATCAGGCACCAGTTTTGTCTCCACTTTGATGCTATTCTCCCATCCCTACCAACATGTGATGCATTATGGTTTGCTTTGTCAAAAACACTTTCATGAAAATGATATAACCAGTGCCTTAAAGCAGACTAGAACCTCATTCCTATGCACTGATAATTATTTTGTCCCTGTTAGGCTCGAGCTTGAACCAAAGTGATAAAGTGATGTTTTCGACAATGAGGAGTAAGATTAACGAGAACCGCACATTTCTACAGTGTGGGTGGCTCATCTTCCAAAGATGTTTTCCTATGTTTCAAAATGCTTTGGAGCTCTGAATATAAACACTTTTAATTAATCATTCATGGCAATACATTTTCAGTTGACTAAAAGACAAGAAACACGAGATCAATTTCATGCAACATGACTGAAGAATGTGGAAAAAGTGGGAAAGAAGGGAAAACGCTAGTCAGAACACGGAAAGGAAAAGCGGGTTAAAGTGTTAAGGAAACAAAAGAAAAAGCACACATGCCTTTTAGTTGTGGTCTACCTTCAGAAAGAGTCTCTGAAAGCTGTTGGTCGGCTCTCGAGAGAGAAAGCCGTGGTCAGTTCTGGGGAAAACCATCTACGATGCAAAGGGGTGCACCAGTGATGAAAAGAAAAGAAAGGGGAGAAAACAAGGAGAGGGGATACAGAAAAAAGAGAGAAGAGGACATGGAGTGGATTAAAATGAGCGCGAGAAGAGCGTCAGTTACATAAGTTGGAAATCAGAGGTCCGCTGTTAACCGTGAGTCCAGAGTTCATGAAAACAAATGCTGCAGGAAAAACAGATAAGAGTTCAACAGCCTCTTAAGCTCCAAGCACAAAGAAAGGAGGGAAAAACTGCAAGAGAGGTGTTTTGCTCCTCTGTCTGCAGGGATAGCGGTAGCTCGGCAGTCCGACAGCAGTTCTCTAAGAGGCACAAACCTTAACAGTGAGAATCTGATTACTGTGCAGGCTTGCATGTGTGCCGTACATAGGAGGACCCTGAAGAGAAGAGGAAAAGGTGAACAAGATAGCGTAGCATTACAGTCATGTTTGCAGCTGTTTCAAATCGAATTATATATGCAGTTAAAAACCCATCAGGTGCAAATAAAATGCATCATCGGCAAATCGTGAGACAGACATCCGTAAAATCTGCAAGTAAGGCTTAATAGCTGTCTTTTGAAACTTGAAAAATGATTTTGGAGTAGCGTGTGTGTGTGTGTGTGTGTGCGTGCACAACATTTAGTGCCTTCCGATCATTCCCACTGTGACCAAACAAAACAGTGGTGGTTTGGCTCTTTCCAGTCAACACAGTAAATGTGTTGATTGTCTGTCAGGCTGAAAGGAGCAGAGTTTTTCTGCTGCAGAGCCTGGAGCACTGTGTCGCTTCTTTGGTTCAGCTCCCTCAAAAACACAAGGGAGGGAGG